TGACTGTAAAATGTTTCCAATTTAAGGAAGTCCATTTGGTTGGCCAAACCCCTTCCCTGCCTATCCCTTTATTATTTCGTGACCAAAGGAGAGAGAGAAAAGAAAAAAAAATCTTTATCATTGCATTCTTCTTGCTGAAGCAGATAAAGTCTTGAGTGATCAGTATTTAGGAAAAACTATTCAGATAGTTTGACAAACTTTGTTTCTGAGACACACATTTTGAGCAAGGTCTCTCAGTATAATAGAAGCTCCATCCTAGCCTCAGAAAGCCCCACATGGTTTTTTTTGTTTCTTTGAAATCTAATTTATAAACAACCCAAAACTTTTCACCTGGGATTCAAAGTTGGCAAGAACCAAACCACCGACTTTCTCCTTTTTCCCCTTCTTCCTGCTCTCTTATTGTGCAGTTCTCATTTCACAGTATTTACTAGTGTCTCACCTGCCTTGAAATGGGAAATGTGAACACTTTGATAAATGGCCTGAAAGTTGATCTAGTTTCTCTTCACCATCATTCTTTAAGAATCTCGGGATTTTTCTATGAAATACAATTTGGTAAACTTCGTTGCCACAGCACAAAGCTGAAGAAAGCACATTTACTGAGAGGGACATTTCCTACTTTGAAAGGTTTCGGAGGCTTAAAAAACCTAAATAAAAGGGATTCAAGATCCACATGTACACGCAAAATAACTCCACCAGGGAAGGCAAGAAAGGTTAAATGAAACACAGGCTCATTTAGTGCATAGCTCAATATCTGAGTAAACCCTTCTTAAAGAGTACCTATTAATATTGTACCAATCACAGTTCTGGCGTTGAACTTTAGTTACGATTTGCAAAGAAATAATGTCTTCCTCCGGATAGGTATTTTATATGGCTAGTATACAAACCGCAAAATAATAGAATGATGTTTATGTTGTTTCCTAGTGATAATGTCAGCTGGGTCTATGAAGTCCCTTCTCAACTCACTTTACTCTGAATTTCAGGTATCATACTTTGTGTTCCTTTTAGATACAATGTTTCTTTACCACAGATAAGTCATGGACATCCCCAAGAGAGTAGACGCTTGCACACATGTCGTATAGTTTACTTGAATGAACAAAGAAAACTCAACTCACATCCCTACCTTACTTTCTTACGTGGTATAAGGTGACAATTTTCATTCTCTGAGAGTCAAAACAGTTCTTGTTTGTATAGCTTTCTGCTCATTCAGACATGCAAGGTGTCTTATTTAGACACTTTCAATAAATTCCAACTTGGCAGTAGGAAAGAAATGCCAAATCCACAGCATTTGGCATAACGGCTGAAGCCTATTGTATGATGACACTTGTTTGGGACCAACAATTGTGAGATCACGGTGGGGACAATAACTGAACTGTGAAGAAAGAACACAGGGACTGGTTTCTGATGCTGAGTCTACCTTGGAGCACATGGTCCAGCTGTTTCAGTGAATGCATGGCTTGTGCATTCAAAAGCAGAACCAGCGCTCTGGAGAGACGGGAAGGCTGTAGATATGAATATAATCATTGAGTCTGAGAATAATTGAGCCTGCCCAAGCCGTGTGCTTATAAAAGGCAGGACTTCAAACCGGTTCAGAACTGTGTCGTTATGCACAAAGGAAGAAATGGCAATGTAAATGTTGCATAGCAACCATAGTGCTCACATTCAAAGCAACACAGCTGCCTACTTTCAGTAGGGCACCACTGCCTGCTTCCTACTTCGGTCAATCTGATACACACACACAAAATGGTTCCCAAACAATGTTACACTGCTCTTGTTTTCTTTAATCACTACGGAATCATTTCTAAGTGGTTCAAAGCCCGAACAACTACAAGCGTGCCAGAGCAAGAGTGAGCGCGACATCAGCCCAAGGTCAGCATCTCCTGGAGCAAAAACTAGGGAAGAAGCTTTAAGAGGAAGGCGGGCTGTCCTAGAAAGAATACACTTCCCAGCGTTTAGGAGAGGGACTCAGAAAAATTCAATAGCACAGAAAGAAGCTGAGGGACGTCAAGCTCCAATAGATAAAGAGCAGGACTGAGGAAGGATTACTAGGAAGGATTGGTGTGTAAGAGATCACAGTGACCTTTAAAAGCTAAACTTGAGATAGTAGCATATTGAGGCAGAAGCTTGTCTTGCTAATAATATAGAAGGGAGGTAGCTCTGTGCCAAACCCTTGACATAGCCCCCTGAACTTGCATATATTGATAATAACTCACGGAGGTATGTCCAGTGGTATTCGCATTACTACAGACGAAGACTGTAAAACGTTTCCTCAACACGTTACTTGTCTTCACGTCAGCGTGACTCCCGTGACTGTAACGGAACAGCATACGAGTCAGCTGGGGCTCTTGTGACCGTTGCTGAACAACATACGCCTTCTTAAGGATCACCATGTGTGAATGCATTTTTTTGACTCGTGTGCCAATCAGTTTGAGTGAAGCGTTGCTTTCTTCGGCTGATCCTTTGTTTTCCCAAACAGGCTATTCTTTTCCAGAAATCAGCCTTCTCTGATGATGCGTCCAATGTAAGCAACAGAAGTCGTGCGTTTCTGGGGAGTACTCTGGATGTGTTTCTTCTAAGACTAATTTATTTATTCTGTGCATGTCCAGGAGACAGGGCAGGGTGTCAAAAAGTTGGTGAAAAACTTTCCGTTGTCTTTCAATTCCATGTTTCCACACATTTTTGAAGCCCTCTTTTTAGTATCTTCCCAAATGCCACAATTCAAATGTACCCCTCATTGTGTTCTGTTGTCATGGCCTAGCTTTCTCTGATGTATGAGTTACCTGGAACGATCATGGCACATGCTTGTCAACACGTGTCAGCGTTGCTTGTGAGAACTCCAAAGTGGTCCTTTGTGCCAGCTGTGCCCAAGGCAATTGGTCATTTGATTTCGGTTCTGCTGTCCACAGAGACTTTAATGTGGAGACAAATAGAATGGAATTTCGGGTAATTTTAATTCCCCCCTCTGCTTAGCAAGGTATTGTTCATCACTCTGCTCCTTAAAGAGAGGCACTCTGATGATCAGTTTGCACATTAGGCAATTAAGACATAGAATTCGGAACACCTTTCCCAATCCTACAGAGGCCATGCCCAGCAGGAGTGAGATTTGAATCTAGACAGTCTGGCTCGAACGTTAGTGGTCTTTGCCGCTAACTTTACCTGCTTCTTGAGAAGAAGAACATTGGAAGGATTGAAACTAAGTTGAAAAAGGAGGTAAGGTGGTAATCCAAATGACCACATTTGGATGTGGTAATGTCAGTTTTCTTTAGGATCTCTTAAAGAAAACCTAAACTCTGAATGTGGAAGTTAATCTGTACGATTCAAAAAGAAATAGCACACAGAGTAGCAAGAATGAGAGAAAACAGAAGATTATGACACAAGGGGGTTTTTAATTAGCACTATCTGATTTTGGCATAAGAAGTTCACACGTGTATATGCAAAGTAGCTCATTGGCTTGCTGTCTTCTTTGGCCATAAACTGAGATGGTGATGCCAAGGGGAAGGGTATTTCCATGCAGAAGCATCGTAGAGCGGGTTTAGGAGCCCAGGGGAGTCCTGAGGGGCTGTTGGAATGAAGACTTGCAGGTAATGCGAGAGACGGAGGGGATATGGTAGGTGCCAAAGCAAGCAATGACGTATGGCCTTTCCTTGTTTCCTGGCTGCTTGGTCTTTTGATCTTAACTTTTCTTCTTTTGGGGAGGAAACCATGTGTTCTAGAATTTGTGTTCCAATGATGAAAATGGCCACTAATATTGCCACCTTAAATGATAATACACAGGCTAGGCCAGGGGTCGGCACACTTTTGAGACGAAAGAGGCAGTCCTGTCCCTCACAACAGTTTAAAATGTATTCAAGAGCCATCAATATATTTTTGCAAGCAAATGCAATCACCGTTATCTGAAGAATATCCTTTGAAAATTTTAAATTTTACTTCCAAATCACAGACACACCAAAAGAGTCCTATGTTTCTCATGAGTCCAGTTTGCCGATCCCAGTCTGGGATATTGAAGGTTTAATCCATAAAGAGAAATCATGACTGGGACCATCTTTGCAGGAGAATGATGACCGTAAATGTGTGCAGGCTTCAGAGACAGCCCTGAAAAGGTTAGCAATGAAAACAATGGTCAGGAAATTTACAAGTCACATTTTGATTCTTCAACTCACAGGATTGTCCAAATAAAGAGCTTTTTGCCTTGATTATGAATGCCAGTAAACAAAATGGGTTTTCATTTCTACAGGTACATTTAATTGCTGAGCAAATCCCATGTATCCACCACCGAGCTAGGTTAATTCCACACTTCCATGTGTAATGCTTCTGTTCAAGACAGGTGTCTTAATTAAATAAACTGATAATTTTGCAAGTAGAAGTACAAAAGCATAATTATCTAATTTGCTAATTGTTCAGCCCTGTGAATTTGCATATTTGTTAGCTGCAACATAAACAAATGGTTTGTATATGTGAATTCTACAGTTAACATAATGAAGCCACTCACTGGAATAGCATTTCTTAACTTGAGTTAATAGATGCCACATGAAAGGGGCTCCCTAGCCAAATCAGGTTGAAAAATGCAGGGTTACAGAAAAGGAAATGGCTTTGTTCCTGCAGGGGGTCTGGGATCCTGCAAGGGGCCAACATGCGTCCTAACTGTCTGAGAGTGGAAGGCATGGAGGTGTGCATCACAAAATGTATGCTTACAGATCCGGATACTTGGGAGAGGTAGATTATGGGCCACTAGTGTTCTGAGCAATGTATTTAGAAAAAATGATCATTCAGAGCTGTCTTAAGACGATGTGGGTCTCACTGTGTTTTTCTCACTCGTCACCCCATCCTTCAGTCAGCACACAGGCAGGAAATGAATTCAGGTGGTATGTATTTTCATCTTCTCCCTTTTGGTGTCTGCCTCCTAATGTCACTCATTCACTCATTCCACACACACACACACACACACAATCTCTATAGTCGCTTACCATAAACATGTAAACCTCTTTTATTTTCCTTTATTACAGGCATATTGACGGGCTTGCTACCCTTCAAAAACTATGCAGTGACCCTAACTGCCTGCACTTTGGCTGGCTGCACCGAGAGCTCACATGCATTGAACATCTCTACTCCACAAGAAGGTAAAGTAATTTCAAAGGTCTTGACTTCCACATTTCAGTCATGAATAATAAAATAGGAGAAGAGCTAAATGCTGCAAGGCCATTTGCTGGAAAACCCCAACCTAATTTGATGACAAAGTGCATTGCCAGGCCATAATTGCTCCATTTTTTGGGGGGGTGCGAAAATGAATCAAACTCCATACCCTTTAATGACATGCATCTTTAATAGCTGTAATGCAGATTAATGGGCTTTTTAATTGCTGTTACATTGTTCATGCAAGAGCCTTGTCATTAATATGAAGCATCTGAAAGATTAATGAAAGCTTCCTCATTTTACTATGGCTCAGAAGTAAATCTAGAGACAGTCTGACTAAAAAGAATTGATTGTATGGCACAGTATGAAATTGAGAATCAAACGGTTGATTTCCATGGTATCTTTTAACTGCTAAACACCAGCACCGGCAACAATTATTTCAGTATGATGGAACTTCCAAATGCCAATTGAGGCATTTATTAATCACTGCTCGGCTCCTTCTAACTTAAGCTTCACTTGTGATGTACTTGGAACTTACAAACTGTTGGCATACATTAATGTTTCAGAAAGACTGCTTTAGAAAGGCAGTGAGAAAGAGAAAATATTTTAGCATGCCAAAGCGAAAGCTTTGCTCAAGCACCAGCACGCATCACTTCAAGAAATAACAGCTCTCAAGGCATTTGAAGCATTGTTACTTAATGTTTCTCTCTCCCCGAGGAGAGGAATTACACGTCTCTTATGCTATCTAGTTTTCACGTTATGGAGAAGTTTTAGAAGCTTGATTGTTAAAAGGAAAGAGTCAGCCAGTGTCTCCTTTCCTTTTCCCCAGTGTTTTATCCATCCCCTCATCCGCTTCCTCTTTAAATCCACTACCAAGTCCCACGAGCATCGCTGGTGGCGCTCTAGGCAAGGCGTTGAGCCGATAACCACAACGTTGGCGGTTCAAACATACCAGCTGCCCCTCGAGTTATAGACTCAGAAACCCAAAGGGAGAGCAGGGTGGCCACGAGTCACACTCTACTCTGATGGCAAAGGTGTGGTTTGGGGTTCAGCACCATGTGGACAGAAGATATGTGGGTGTAAAGAATGACAGGAGGAAAGGTTTCTTAGAACCCTTCAGGTGGGGCTCTCTCCGTGCTTTGCGCCAGACGTAAGCAAACTCCCCTCACCTGCATTATGTAAAGCAATGGTCTGCCTCAGCCTGTCCTCAAGGTTTTCCCTGACGAGGTTACTGATAAAAGCTCTGTCTAGCTTAACATGCCCTCATGAGGGTGCTGGGGTTCATGATGATCATCCATATGCAAATAGTTTCATTGGCCCCAAAATTGGTTTAATCGTCCCACTCTCTAATTCATTTTCCAGTGTCCACTACCTCTATGGTCCATGTTTCCTCTGGTACCTCTCACAGCTCTGTGCCAGAGTGATCCCTACCTGCCTGGTTCCATTATTTTCTTTTCCTTCGATAAGGAACTTTCGAACTTCCAGATTTTCCAAAAATGTATTCCCAACTTGGAGGCTCTGGGTGGTATGAACAGTAAAGTGCTAGATGGCTAACCTAATGGATATTGATTTGACCCCACTGGGAGACAGCTCAGAAGACCGATCTGGCTGCCTACTTCGGAAAGGTCACAGCCGTGGAACAGCATTGGAGCGGTTCCGCTCGGTAACTGTAGTTGCCAGAAGTCTGAATGGACTTGATCGCAGGGAGAAGAACGATTTCTAGTTTACCAAATGACAGGAATGCTTCGGCACAATTTTATAAATGACTTCCTTATCAGAAATGTATGTGTATATATAGAGAGAGATAAGACAGAGAGAGAAAGAGAGCGATTTGGAATCTCTTAAATGTAACTTTTCACAAATCCTCATGGGCTTCCCATTTCAATTTATCCCTGTTTCCAATTCCTCTGCCTTCGGAAATTTGATTTGGGCCAGTGCCCCCCATTCAGTCTTCTATGGCTGGTTGTTCGAAGAAGTAGGCCCCTCTTGTGTTATGGTTCTCGCTGTTGTTCCCCTGAAAGGTGACCTCTGGGAATGGACTCAGTTCCAGGTTGGCAGATTATCTAAAGGTCATGGGAGTAAGACTTCTGACAATGAACGTCAGACCAACAAGTCTGATCATTTTTCATCATTTTGAATTCTGTTCTACGGTTTCCTCCCACCTTTCTCTTCTTCTCTCAGTTGGAGTGGAAGGCAGCAGAAGTCAGCGGCATCTAATTATTCTGGTCTCAGCTGAGTAGAGGCTGTGGTTTATGTGGTCTTTGGGTCCTTTGGATTAATTGTTTGCTAAAGTATCTTATTGTCTTCATTTTTCTTTGCTTCATATGAGAAGAAATAGTTATATCTTAGATGACTGCTCTTGAATGTTTTTTTGTTTTTGTTTTTTAAGGTCTAGCTTTTTTTATATATACAAAAACCAGACATACTAGATAGCCCTGCTTCGTGTCTATGTTAGTTTGGCTTGACTAGAGAAACAAATCCAGAGACACGAATATGTGTGTAAAAGAGAAATTTATATCAATGAGCAATTGTATATTAAGAAGACATCCCAGCCCAAATGAATTCCATAAGTCTGATATTAGCCCATATGTCCTCTTTAGACTCATGCAGCCATGCAATGATGCTGAATCCAGGGAGATCACAGGCAAGTGGGTGGAAAGTCTTGCACATCCAGTGGTAGTGGAAGCATCTCAGAGTGGGCGTGGGTCTCCATGTGGCTCTTCCAGCTCTAGAGCTCTGGCTGCCATCAGCGTGGCTCTATGTGGCTTGTCAAGCAGAGAGATAGAGTGTGTCCTGCCTCAAGGGAGGAAGAGAGGAAAACTCCCAGAATACTCATAAGAAAGCCATACCCACAAGAAGACATCAACCATGGAGACACCGATCAGGCTGTGACAGGCTAGAGGCCCCCGCTATAACCTATTCAACAAGTTGACATGAAATTATGTAACTATCACAGTGGCCTTATTTGGCCTTGGCCATTCCAGCTTGGCGATGCAGGTCACTGACTTGATACCTAGGACCTTGCCCCCCCAGTGGTGATGGATCTCATCATATATGTCATTATACTTGGTCCTGATGGCTTCCACCAGTTTAGCCAGGGCTCCTTTGTCTTCCAAGTTCACCTACATGTAGGCAACAGTGGTGAAACTCTTTGTGTACCAGGCACCCCAGCTGGGCTTGAGGATTCATTAGGAGACCCCATTACGGCACAAGGCGAGTAGGAAGACCACCAGCTAGATGGGAACCACCACCAGCCGAGCCTTCTTGTTCTTCACCAGAGTGGAGATGGTGTTGACCCTGGCTCGCAGGACAGGCAGCCTCTTGGTAGGGACGTCCTCTTTGCCAGCAGCCTTCTTCTCAGCCCAGGCCACCAGTCTCTGCTTCTGCTCCTGCTTTGTCTCTGGCCAATCCTTGTGGGCCAGCTTCAGCAGCTGTCTGGCGGGCCAGGGCCTGGGTGAATTGGTTGATGGAGGGCTATGCCTTAGTCTCTCAAAACTAAGCCCTCAACTCCAGTGACTCAGTCACTCAAGGTACTTGGTTATGGCTAAGAGGTTTGACTAGTTTTTATCCCGTATACTCTATATACATGGATATATTTGTAGCACATACAAATACATATGTTTCAATAACTGTGCCAAAAAACATATATAGGCTCATGGATATACTCTCTCACGCCACATCACACCTGTTCAGGTTATATGTCTATCTATGGGTCCATTCCTAAATTATCTTCTGTTCTTACTGGTATTGCAGAATTGCTTCTGCCTTCGTATTCACACTGCTGTCTTTTCGCCATGGGTGTTTCCTGGTGCCTCCCTTTGCCTTGGTCATGTTGTGTTGACATCCCCTTTCACGTGGAGTGCCTTTGTCTTGATTCAAGTTAATGCATGTCCCCCACCCTCAATAACTATCAAAGAATGTTTCTCTCTGTGTATAATTTTTCTTATCTTTTCGTAATAGTGAACTCACACACTACTCATCTTTTTGTATTTGACTTAGTTCACTCTGCATGTCTTTCAGGTCCATCCCTGTTGTGAGATGTTTTGCAAATTAATAATTATTCTTTAATGGTACATAGTGTTTCTATGGCATGTAACATGTGAGGGGGATCTTTTAAAAGTTCATGGAAAATGTGTGTTATTGCACTGAAAACACCTTTAGTCACTGTCCCTGTAGATGTTTCTATCCTGGATTTCATATACAGAAAGTCTACAAAGCAAACTGACAAAAGAACCCAACAGAGTAAAGCAGAGAAAAACCTTTATCTAAAAGAAACAAAAAATATGAAAAATGAGAGCAAATTTAAAATCAGTTACAAATGAGATCAAATGATAAGGCACACTACGACTTTTTATTACAAAGTTGAACAGGATCTAGTTCGAGGCATTAAGGAAAATAGAACAGACTTTTGAACATATCCCCTATCAGGGCAAGAGGAATTCTGCTAAAACTGAGTATCACATTTATAAATATCAGAATCTTGGTGAAGCTTGAGTAGAAGAGTGGTGAAATGATTTACTGTTGAGAAAAACATAAGGACAATGGTCAAAAAAAATCAGCAGTTTCAGTACGGATAACTCATTTTCAGAGGGTATTATTTAATATTGAATATGAAGCCTGTAGTGGTGGACAATCCATATCAATCTGCTGGGAAAAGATGCATCATTTTCATCCTCAAATTGAAGCGGATCAATGCGTAGCAGCAGAAACAATAGCCAACACCTTTGATTTTTTTTTCCAGGTTCAGCTTACACAATTCTGACTGAAAAATTAAAATTAAGTAAACTTTGTACTTGACATGTGCCAAAAATGTAGTGCCTAGATTAGATGCAGGCAAGAGCAGAGCTTTCAAAGGAAATTTTAAATTGGGGGTTGGGGTCAAGAACCTGAAGCATTTATTGGAAGAATCTTAACAGTAGCTGAAACATCTTAACCAGTACGATCCTTAAGACAAAGCAGAATCAAAACAATGTCTATTAGGAGGTGAAATGCTCCAGTCAAAGCAAAAGTGGACTGGTCAAAATCAAAGGGCACAGCAAAAGTTTTCTTTGAATCAAAAGAGATTTTGGTGATTGACTTTCTGGAGAGTTGAATGACAGTTAGATCTGTTTATTATGAGTATTTTAATAAAGTTAACCAAAACTTTAGCAAAAATAATGCCTGGGAAGCCTTTGCCAGAAAGCCCTTCTCCTCCAAGATAATGTGCCTGCTAACTTGTCTTATCAATAAATGCTATTTTGTGGGGATTTTAAGGGAAATCATGAAGCATCCATTTTACAGTCCTGATTTGGCTTCTCCTGACTTTTTATTTCTTAATCTTAAAAATATATACAAGGTATCTGTTTTTCTTCAGTTAGTAATATAAAAAGAATGAATTAAAAATTAAAGACCTGGTACACTTAGATTTTTAGGGATGGACTAAATGACTGATGAAATGTCTCGTGAAAGTATCTTGAATTTGATAGAGTTTATATTGAAAAATAAAGTTTATATTTTTCTCATATTTTAATTCCAGTTTTCCATGAACTTGTTGAAATCTCCTAGTGGTTTGTTTATTCATTCATCCATTGGTGGGCACTTAGATTGTTTCCATCGTTTTGCTACTGTGACTAGCACTGTGAGGAACACAGATGTGCGTGTCTACTCAGGACATGACCCTGTTTCTTTAGGATATACACATAGTAGAGTCCTGTTACCTAATTGTAAGACTGCTGGATCTGGGTCCTTCCTTGGTGGTTCGCTGGTTTAGGTGATGGGCTGCTAACCATGAGGTCAGTTGTTCAAATTCACCAGCTGTTCCAGGGGAGAAGGATGAGGCTACCTCCTTCCATAAACTCATGTAGGGCTGCTGTGAGTTAGAATCCACTTGATGGCACTTGGTGGATACCGTTTTCCACAGTGTTTGCCCATTGTACAATCCCACCAGAAGAATGCTGGCATCAATTTTTAATAATCACTAGTTGCTCTTGCTCTAATTCATTGACCACTGCAAAAAGAAAAACGAACCACAAAAAAATGATGTTGGTTTTGTTTTGTTTATTACTCACACACAACTTAACTTTTATTTGTAGTTGATTATATTGATGTGTAATTTCTGACCACTCTGATAGTTGTGTGTGATATATTTAAAATATCCAATATGAACCACATAATGCCACAATGGTTAACTGCATCACAGCTAACTCAATGGTTGGTGTTTTGAACTCATGAGTGAAAAAATGGTTGGCTGCTTTCCTAAAAATGACAGATTTGGAGAACAGCCTCCAGGACTGTTCTCATCTGCCCCTAGGAGTTGCTCTAGATCAGCATCAGTGTGAAGACCGGGACATTGTGACCCATCCTCGTCCATATTTCATCGGAGATCAAAAGCTTCTCGAGGGCAGGGACTCTGTCTGTGTAATTTTCTACAGCAGGCACGGCTCCATGTAGACATTATGGGTTAATAATACCCTTGATAAAGTAACACAAACATCAGTCAAATGAACTGCTAAAAGTACTCCCCATCCATCACTGATGCAAATTCTTATAAATCCAGGAGAGTTATTTAGCACTGTTCCTAAAGCAATTACTGACAAGCTGCCCACGAATCAGGAACATTTTCATGCATGGTATTTCAGGTTTATTCCATGATTTATTGGTTTGGGTCTGAAAAGTTTAAATTAGAAAAGTAAACTAAAATTAGACTCCATAAATCTTTTTTCCCCCAACAGCCCCAAAAGAGGTTCAGCTACCAGTAGCCAAATCTCTTCCAAATTCTTTGTTAATCTTCTGGAAACCACCCAAACAGGCAAATGGCATAATAACGCGGTACTCTTTATATATGGATGGGATGCTGATCTATTCAGGAAATGGAGAGAACTGCACAGTCACTGGTAAGACTTTTTATACTTATCATAATATTTGAAAACTTGATTTCGGAAACTGGGTTCTTTATTTCCATGTCCTGTTAGATTGAGATCGTTTAGCTCCATGATCTTTATGGTGATATTCAAAGTATGGTGCAGATTAAAAACCGACCAAGGAATCCTGGTGTCTTCTTGCTCCTTCCATCCAGGCTATCTTACTGCATTTTCTCCACTATAAGGTCCACCAGGTTTTACCGAAATCTCTCCACCAATATTCTGTCACCCAGGGTCTACAGTTGATGTTACAAAGAATGAGAACTCAGCAAACATTTCTGCCTCCGAAGGACCACACGCCCGAAACTGGGAACCCATGCAGGACCCAGTTAGTCTCACAGTCCTGGGTAGCCTCCATGATGCCATTTCACCTAAGTTCACTGTCACATGCATAAAAAACCCTAGTAGCACAGCGGTTAAGGTGTTTTACAGAGAAATGAAAGATCAGAATCTACCAGCTGCTCTATGGGTGAGCGATGCAGAGGTCTGCTTCCATAAAGATTTGCTGGCATGGGAACCTTATAGATCAGTTCCACTCTATCACCTAGATAACTACGAATTGGAATTGACTACAAGACCATGGCTTTGGGGTGATACCAATGCCTACTTTCAAACTGAACCAATGTAAACTAATCTTAAGACTTAGTAGTATGACTTCAGTCGGCTAAATTTTATTCCCTTTGAGAAGAAATGTATTGTGTATGTCCAGAATATATTAAAAAGTGTAATTGTACACTAAAGTATCCCTGGTAGTGTAGTGGGTTAAGGATTGGACTGCTAGGCTCCAAGTCAGCAATTTAAACCAGCAGCAACACCTTGGGAACAAAGATGAGGCTTTTGGCTCCATAAAAAGGCATAGCCTTAGAAACACTAGAGCATCACCACAACTTGAAATTGACTCAGTTCCAGGAGTTATGTTTTAGACACTAAAATAAAATTCAGTAAATTATTGAAAAGCTTTCTAACACAGAGATCTACATTATATATATTATCTGGTGTCTGGGTAGTGTTTGTATTTGTAAAGTACTTGAAGTGTTTGTATGTTTTATGTTATATTTATATCTATGCTTGACTATTAGCTTTGGTGTTATTAATCCAATTGATTGGTGGAAAAAGTGGAGACAGAGATATTAACTCCCTTATGAAAGGTCAAAGCAAGCTAGAGTCAGAACCAGGATTAATTATTTATACATTCATGAATTCCCATTAATGCCAAGTATAAGGCTGTAACACAGAACCAGCCAGACTCGGTCCGCCCTCTCTCGGTGCTCACGACTCATGGGGACCCATGCAGATGTCATTCGGAGCCATTTGAGGACACCTATATGGCATTGATCCGATTGTGTTTTATCTCCTCTCCAGTCTGAGACTCGTAAGAGGACAAGGTTTATTACTTTATATTTCATTCACCAAGGTTGGAAATAATTTTGTAATAGAGAGCATGTGAAATAGGTATTACTGTTATCCCCATTTGCTTTGAAATCATTTCATTGGGGCTCATACAACTTATCACAATCCATACATACATCAATTGTGTAAAGCACACTTATACATTTGTTGACCTTATCATTCTCAAAATTTGCTTTCTGCTTGGGTTCCTGGAATTAGCTCCTCATTTTCCTTTTTCCCCTCCAGAGGCTGAGAAACTTAAGACACTTCCCCCAGGTCACAAGACCTCCCAGTGGTAGATTTTGATTCCGACCTTCTCATTCTGGTTACATATTGGAGAGAGCGTGGTCTTAAAACATTTCTTAATATTGCTCACACTTAGTTTCTCCACCTGTAAAATAGTAATAGCCAATTTTCAAAATTTCATAGAGGATTAGGGTCCTACATAAAATGCATAGCATATCATTAACACTTTGTAAATAGAGACTGTAATTGCTACTTCCTATAGAATGTAGAACCCATATTATAAATTAAAAAGGATGCTGATCACTCTCTAACAATACTCGATGTCATTATTTAACTGAAATTATCATAGTATTCTAGAAGTATTTTTTCAGCGAAGATAAAAGAAAACCCTCCATAGAATGAACCATGTCTTAATACTTAATACATGCCGGCGTTCTCAAGGACCAAAATATACCATGACACATAGGAGTCCGAGCTGACTCTGTTTCAGGGAGCTGGGTTTCAGGGGAACCACGCTTTTGGAGCCCTGCACCCAGGCTGCGGGAGATGGAAAGCAAGCACTCAGCTGCTAATCAAAAGGCAGCTTGAGACGAAAGACCTGATGGTCTATCCCCCCAAAATTAGCGACTGAAAACGCTCAGGAGCTTGGTTCTGCACTGACACAATCAATGAGGCCACTCGGCTAAGGGTCACTGTGACAGAACCTTTTCTTTTTTTAGGCCCAACATAAACATTTCCTTTAAGAAACCTTCTCTGATTCTGCCAGTATGAATTATATTTGTCCCCTGTGTTCTCACCGAAAACCTGACTATCCTCCCCCAGTTTTGGGTTGTTTTTTTTTTTTTTGCACTGAATAAAACCACTTGCTTACAGGCCAGTTTGCTGTAGTATGCCCCTAGCTGCATAGGGACATGCTCATTTCTGCTTGTTCATGATCACAAAGTGGGTACAGAAAACACGGTGTCAAGTACACAAGAAATAAAGACTGCGGGGACAACAAAAGAGGAAAGCTGGGGGGCACTGATGCGGGGCAGGAACAGGAAGGAAAGAAAAAGAAGTCGACAAAAAAGGAAAATAGCAACCTGGAAAAAACCGAAACTTCCTTCATGTGCAGAAATGGATGCTTACACGGTCGTCCGGTCCTCCGGGAAGAAGTGTGCAGCTGACGGCAGCTCTGAAGTGGGGCTGGGATGTTCCACCATGTGCAGAATGCCACAGGAAGTGACCCTGCACGCACAGAAGCAGGTGCCATGAGGGGACGGCAGGAGAGGAGAAGTCACATACATTTCTATTACAACCTACCCACCCCCCCAAAAAATGCCCCAAATTAAATTCTGTGTTTTGTTTGCATGAATTGTCAGCAATGCCATGTCACCGTATAATCTGCGATGAAAGACGGACGCAAATGTGACCAGATGCCTCAAGGACAACATGTAATAAAGAAAGCGTAATATTTTAAAAGTGCCTACAGCTGTCTACACTAGTGAGCGTGGTAGTAAGTGCCTCACTCACCTGGCTCTAAGTTTTATGTAATGAGCACTGGTATTGCAGTGGTCATGAGTTGGGAAGTGATCCATGTGGTTGGCAGTTCAAAACCACCAGCAGCTCTGTAGGAGAAAGATTGGGCTTTCTACTCGTGTAGACAGTTACCGTCTTAGAAACCCACAGGGGGGTCGCTGTGAGTCAGCACTGACTCGATGGTCAGTTTTGGGTGCTTAACCTTCATGTAGACTTTAAAGGAATCCATCTCTGATATCACTACAAGCCTTTTTCTCTCTGGCTTGCTTGGTTTCTCACGAGAAACTTGCTGCTCTCATTTGGGAAAACGAGTGAAGACATGAAATGTGTTGGCTCTGCAGTGGTGGTCAGAAGGAGAGGCGTTAAGCTAAAACTGTTAAGGTGGGGCTCGGAACACAGTATCCATCCTGGCTGACATGCTGGATTACACGAGTGCAGTCATGGAGCTATTTCATCAAATCGGTTGCAGAAACGTGGCAGGCTGTAGGGAAGCAGACCTTCTGTGATGAACATTTGGGAAACGGTTCAGGAAGTGAGCAAAACCGCAACAATCGATTGCAAGTCTTTAGCATTCGTCTCGTTGGTGAATTTGGATAAGCAAATATGGAAACCTATTTTAATACAGAGTAAAGCCACATCCTATGTGACATCTTGTTAAACACACACACACAAACCCCGTTTCTATTACCTGACATTTGGATGCTCTCTCAGTGGATTACATGTTCAAAGTCACAATGCCATGTTCCAGGAGACCATGCATTAGGAAGGGTTTTTAAGCATGTAGATTCCCAAACACATTCTTGGCTCAGCTTCTCTGGATTAAAACTTTTAAATTTAAATTCTTTTTGACATGCTTTCCAAATTGATCACGGAGATGAACCAGATTTGGGAATCACTGATCTTGTGGATAGTCTAGCCTTGGGCAGTGTTTCTCCAAGAGTGGTCTGTGTCTTCTCCATCACGATCACAAAGTGTTCTTGCTTAAAACGGGCAAATGAAAATCTGTAGGAATGGGCACAGGAGAATGCATTTCCAAGGAAAAAACCCAGGTAATTTTTGGACCCCCAAATTTGAAAGCCCTCAAGTACTAGAATGTGTCCATTTTAACAGCAAAGGGCTTAGAGGATAGTGTATTTTATTCATTCACCCAATAAAATCCACAAGGACTTTTTTTTAATGTTTCACAACATCCCATGATATTGATTACACTGGACAAATGTAGTGGACCCTATTTATTAATTAGTTAAATCCTCTTTATACTAGTCAGAAATGAGCTCTATGTAATTTACTCCATCTTGTAAAAAGTACTATATCTTGCTCTATTCAGTGCAGATCATTGTTTAGGGTAAAGCTAGTCACAATTTTGGGAATGTTTTCTAACAAATTAAGCACAAATACATCACATTTATATATATAAATTGATATTTATATATATATAAAATATATATATCACAATTAAAAAACCGGATTCCCACCCCCAAAGCTATGTATTTCTTTATTTATTTACAAAACAACCTTATCATTTTCAAAGTACTAATATTCTCCATTACACGTAATACATTTGTAAACTCTGCAATTCCATTTGTGGAAATATTTTTGAACTCATCTCTTTGGATGATTGACAGCACCTCCCTCGTTTTCAGCTTCACCTTTTCTGCATTGTCAAATTGCTGTCCTTTCATTCCGCTGGGCATTTGTGAAAAAAGAAGTCACATCGAGCAAGGTCAGATGAGTGACATGTGTGGGGGAGGAGAGGTGTGCACTTTTTTTGCCAAAAAACGGGTGCACTGAGATGTCTGCATGAGTAGGTGCATTGTCAT